CGTGCCACATTCACCCTTTCACACACATTCACTCAGTGATGGCAAAGCCCATCGAACAGAAACTAATGCATTCATACACATTCTGAGTGATAGATGATTTGCCTTCATCTATCACTTACTTGGGTCTCTCCTAAGGGATGGAGAACCGCAAGTCATAATCTTCTGTGCAGATTCTCTGTTCATGATGACGATAAAAAACTTTTAAATAGCATAACTTCAGAGTAACAAGTGAATGTAGATCCAACACAATTTATGGATGAGTTTTTTCAGGGTGTGTTCTTAAGGTCTGGTGAACAGAACACAGCATGTGATGACATGTTCTATCATGAATTATTGCCTGTTGAATACAATTCAATTCAATTTTTATTTGATATGCCCAATTCATAACAGAATTATCTAAAGGACAATTTTCAAAATAGACCAGGTCTAGAACCGAACTTCCTTATAACATGAGCAAGCACTTGGCAACGGGCAAGGAAAAACTGCCTGTTAAAAGGCAGAAACCTAGGACAGACCCTTCGGTATTTAGTTGATTGTGATCTTCAGCTTCACAGTAAGATTGGATTTAGATGCCACTAAATTCTACACATTGGTCCTTTAACATGTACAAATGACAACAAGTTGTGCAAACAGTCTAATAATCTCTTTCTCTCTCTCTCTCTACAGGGACCTCTGTGCAGGGCACAGTGAATAGAGAACACAGCAGTCGTCTACTAAATATTGAACAGTATGTAGAAACCACTGGCTTTGTATTGACAGCAATTGTTGCCAAATATGTTTGGTTAGTAATTCTACCGACTGCTTTTTATGGGAAGGGTTGGTCTGGTAAATTCATTTGATCAGTTTAATTTAACTGGATTTATTTAAAGCAGGACTAAGATTTTTTTTTTTCATATTGAAGCTGCAGTAGGTAATTGTTTGTCATATTTTCTGAAACTTTCACTATATCCTGACACTAGTACATGAGACAGACAATCCTAGTGCTTTTAGTGGTTTGAGGGCAATCCATCCAGGTACTTTAGTCTTGCTTCAAGGCCCCACCCCTTTTTGGGTGAAAGCAGCCCAAGTTGTAGTACAACTACATTACTAAATCTCATATTTCTGATATCTGACACTATTTTTGACTGTTTTGGTCGTCTGTCCATTGTTATGTTACTGTAAACTAATCATATCGCTGTGTAGGAGAACCGCCGTTTGTGTTTATTAATCAACCTTTTACTGTGAGCTAACAGAAAAAGAAAACAGGTGGGTTTTATTTCCACTTCCTGCGTTACCTGTTCATTGAGGTTAAAATACCCTCTGGTCCACACTGTCAAACCCAACTCCATTTCAAAAACGGGTGTTTTATGGTAGGGTCATATTTTTTCACAGTAAAAACTTTATTTACACCATCACCAAGACTCTTTACTGATTCTTTCCCATCTACAGTTCCAATCAGCACACATGTAAATGGTAAATGGTGAATTGACCTGTACTTGTATAGCGCCTTTCTAGTGCTTCGACCCACTCGAAGCGGCTTTTACACTACGTGCCGCATTCACCCTTGTCACAACACATTCACACACAAAGCCCATTGAACAGAAATCGAACAGAAACGCATTCATACACATTCACACACCATGTCATTGACTAAGTAACGTCATTAACTTACCTGTGATGAAGTGCCATAGATTGACTGTCTTGGTCCTACTGTTTAACATTTCCATCCTCTTTGTGGATTGTTTAAAGCCACAGATCTTTTCTTTTACTGTCCTTTGTTGATGAGGAAAGTGAAGAAAATCATGAATTCTTCTGTGCAAAATGCAATGCACTAGATCCTTTTACAGCACTTCTCTCATTGTCTCATTCTGAAGACAAGAAAATGATGTATGCCTGCTCTCATCTATATTTGCAAGAATCCAACGCGCATGGACAAAAGCAACCAATCAGAGCCAAGAAAGACAGTTGATTGTTTAGTTTAATTCCCAGGGTATAAAATACAGACACTTTGGGACCCTGGGAATGAGAATCAACAATCAACTATCTTGAAGCCATCAACCTACACCATCTTTGTATCTTTCTCAGCTCTGATTGGTTGTTTTCGTTCAGTCCCGGTGGATTCTTACAAATGCCATTAGTAGCACTAGGAGGAGCCAAAAGGAACCAGATTTTTTCACAGATTATCTCTCATGTACTACTGTCAGGATATAGTGAAAGTTTCAGCAAATATGACAAAATAGTTTTATAAAAATTACCATTTGAAGTTTTAACCAGGGCATTTACTGAAAAACATCCAGATTTTGATTTGTTTTTGTTTTCATTGAATGAGAAAATGTTTGTAAAATGTGTAAATGACATGTGGATACCATAATCCTAATGAAATACTACATGAGTGATACCAAAATGTGCATGACAACTCACTGATGTAAAGTTTGCAAACCCCAAAAAGCTTTCAGATTTGTGGATAAATTACTACGCTTATTTTCATCCCATCCCAGATTATAGTATATGGTCACACCAAGAAAGTCTCCTAAGTGTTTACTCTGACTCTGTACTGCCAGTCTGCCTTCCTCCTCACCTGTTCAACTCAGCTATTTCAGCACCATTGCTTTAATCACCCTTGGATTTAAAGTTTCTTTGCTTTGAAAATTCTTATCTATATCATGTTCTATTTACAAATAAAGATTAATTGCATATTGTGTTATTGAGGAGAGAATGCTGGGAAGATATGGTATAGGTTGGGTGTGCTTGTGTAACTATGACAGGAGGGGATGGGGAACAGTCAAAGGTTTTTATTATTTTTTCAACAGTTTTTGGATTGAGCCGGTTTCTTTTTTTGCTCACAATTTCTCCACATGTGCGGTTATAAAGTGTTAAAGTCGCTCAAATTCAAAACTGTCTCAACCCGTCACCTGTCAGAATCCAGACGAGGCAGTGCCAGTGAATCGCCTGATTGGACCGCAAACCAGACAGCTGATTAATTCAGGCAATGAACCAGTTGCTGCTTCGGACGTCATATGTCACGTGATTTATTTCACACCAAAGCAAGCTTTAAAGCAGTAGTTCTATAGAATTGTACTACAGGGATTGAAGCACATATTGAAGCTTCAGTGTCGCACTGCCATCACTATCCTGGGCTGTTTGGTGTTTTCCCACGACAACTACACAGCATGAGTTCGACCATCTCCTCTCCTTTGAGTTTCCGTGGTTCAGAAACTCTGATTGTATTGCCACACATACCATCGTGTGCACACACTCACCCGCCGGCGGTTTGACTCCTGCGAAAGACTCTGAGGGTTCACAACCTAAAGCCAGAATTGAACGATTAGGAGAGACGGCATCCATCCCACTTTGGATGGAGCGGCTCTCTATGACAAAGTTTATTTCTAAAAC